ATATAAGTGGAAAAATTAAATTTATTTCAATTACATATATATATTTTAATCTTCAAAAAACAATGAACAAAATAACGGAACAAAAATGCGCGATTAGCTCAATTTATAATGCTAATGCCGGCGATACTGTAACTTTCAAGTTTCATTATTCAAAAAGTACTTAATGAAAAAATACGTTATTATGGTGTTTTGAAAAGCTTTGAAGATAAACTACAAGAATATGCAATAAAGAGTAGGATATTTTATTTAAAAAATTCAAGTTAACTTTGGCGTGACCTTAACGCCTCCATCCAAGGTCAGACAAATAGTAGTCTTTTATGTCCCCCTCAAAAACCTACAAATTTTATATTAAACATTTTTTCATATATATATATTATGTATGTATGAAGCAAATGGAGGGATTTTTTAACATTTATTATAAATTGAGCTAATTAATTACGCATTTTTGTTCCGTTCTTTTGTTCATTGTTTTTTGAAGATTAAAATATATATGTGTAATTGAAATAAATTTAATTTTTCCACTTATATGTTTGTTTTTTATTAAAATCATAAAATTCCTATTTTGTACCCTGTACTATTAAAACGAAGCGTCGTAGAGAAAAACATTATTAACAAAATATGTTTGTTTTTATATTCTCTATTTCCCCTCAATGTTTGTCGGTCTAATTTTTTACACCCTGTATATACAGGGTGAGTCATTTTAATCAAACCAGGCAAATATCTCGAAAAATATGGAAGATACGGAAAAATATTTCAAACAAAAGTTGTATGGTTCGGAGGGGGACATATGATGGTGTAATTGGCTTGATCTTGGATAGTCGTTTGAAAGTCACGTGAAAGTCACTTTCAATTTCTTAAATGGAAACCTCCATTTTTCATTACATATTCTTATAGCTTACCTCGAGAGCTTTCCAAAACACTATAATAAAATATTTTTTCATTAAGTATCTTTCGAGTTAAAAGGCTACAAAGTTACAATATTGTTGCCATTAGCATTGGTACCCAAGGTGTTCGACCGACGGCTGAAACCTTTTGAATGTTGTTCAGGGCCATAACATTTGTCAAGGTCAAGGCGATTGGAGGCTATTGCTAATATTTTCATTTCTTCAAATTTTACAGTGAAAACAAAAATAATAATTTAAAATCATGGGGTAACATGTGGAGTCCGATTGACTCTAAAGTATCATTTGAAGATCACAATGCTATGATTATTAAAGAAATTTATTAATGGGATTTTACACGTGTGCTTCTTTGTGGCCCCGACAAAGCATTGTGACCTTCATATGATCCTTTAGAGTCAACCGGACTCCAGATGTTACCCCATGATTTTAAATTATTATTTTTGTTTTCACTGTAAAATTTGAAGAAATAAAAATATTAGGAACAGCCTCCAATCGCCTTGACCTTGACAAATGTTGTCAAGGTCATGGCCCTGAACAACATTCAAAAGGTTTCAGCCGTCGGTCGAACACCTTGGGTACCAATGCTAATGGCAACAATATTGTAACTTTGAAGCCTTTTAACTCGAAAGATACTTAATGAAAAAATATTTTATTATAGTGTTTTGGAAAGCTCTCGAGGTAAGCTATAAGAATATGTAATGAAAAATGAAGGTTTCCATTTAAGAAATTGAAAATGACCTTCACGTGACTTTCAAATGACTATCCAGGGTCAAGCCAATTACACCATCTTATGTCCCCTTTCGAACTATATAAATTTGTTTGAAATATTTTTCCGTATTTTCCATATTTTTCGAGATATTTGCCTGGTTCGATTAAAATGACTCACCCTGTATGTGTATGTGTGTGTGTGTGTGTGTGTATCGTCTAATTGCAGAGGTTGTGGTGCCGCTTGTCGCAACTTCTCTATAGAAATAAATAAATTACAAAAGAAAGATTTAATTGAAGGGAATTTATTTTGCAAAATTATCATTTCCCCCAAATTCACCGAAGCAAACATTATAATTATTGGCTTTTCTCTTACCTCTTCCTATTTCCATCACGAAACTTAACTTGCATCAGAAATTAAAAACTTGGACGACACGAACTAGTAAACTCTTTAGTCCGTTCTTTCTCATCAAAGTAGATCTGATATTTATTATGTGTTTTTTATTGCCCATTTATTGCTTAACAAAAACCAATTTGTGTAATATCCGCATGTTATTCTTGTTAATCTTTTTGTTTTATGGTGATTTTAATATTTTCTTTTCATTTCTAATTTAAATAATTACAGCACTACCCAAAAACTTGGCAAATAATGAGGAACCGCTGCTTTTACGCTCGTTAAAAAATGGAGCACATTGTGACGAACGATACGATCGTCGAAATCGTCCCAGATGATGAATATTTCAAGCCGTATGCACGATCCGTGACAATCGCTGCTGCTATTTGCGCTATAATATTCAGCATAATCGGAGTGCTAGGTAACGTTTCTATTTCTCTAGTTCTCTTATATTCACGACGCTACCGCTGCGAAGTACTTAACAGTCGAGACATATATCTGAATTCCAGGTAATTTAGTGACGGTAATAGCATTGTTAAGATATACGAGATTAAGACGACATGCCACCACAGCATTCGTCATAAACCTCAGTATCTCCGATTTGATTTTCTCGGCGATTAACTTGCCTCTAACCGCCAGCAGATACTTGAAGGAAGCATGGGTCCTAGGCGAGGTTCTGTGTCAAATATTCCCCTTATTTTTTTATGGGAATGTCGCTGTATCTTTACTCAGTATGGTGGCAATTACTATTAATAGGTAAATTCTTTTTAAAATCTACTTTAATATGAGAGAATAAAGTATGTTTCGTATCAAATAAAAAAAAAAAAATATATATATATATATATATATATATATATATATATATTTATATATATACATACACAGAGTGTATGATTTTTCTTCGCAATTTTTGTGGGAAAATAGAATAATGATTAAGATTAACATAAAAGTCCCATCGTTTTGCAATATTCGCAATAAATCTCAAGAAAATTAGTGAGTAATCATGCGCGATATGGTAGATAAGCTGTAGTCCCTTATAGAAATATCATACTAAGAATCACTGATAATTACTTATTATCCAGTATTTTTAATACTGAAAATAAGTAATTATCAATGATTCTTAGTATGATATTTCTATAAGGGGTAGCACCGTCTATCGTTGTATATTAGGTCAAATTAAATAAAAAAATGTTTTTTGTGGTGGTATTTTGCAAATGACCACAAAAATTTTTAGACATTAATTAATTAATTAAAGAAGATTTGTGCATTATTACATACGATCATGTAACAATTTTCTTCCATTAACAACTAAAAATCGGCATGGTTATTTGCATGGTTATAAAATGAGCTAAAGGGCTTTTTTGTTCAATTTGATCTAATATACAAGTACACAATAGAGTAAAGGTGCCTAAGATGAGACACCTTCTTTTAAAGACTTGTAATTTATTTAATTTATAACCGTAATTTTCCTTTTTATGTAAAGCTTATGGGAAAAACATTCAGGTATTACCTCCAAAAGTTAGTAATCAGTATACAGTTAGTAACAGTTATACTTTATAATATATGAAATTTTTTATTAGAAGTGCCGATTTTGTCCTTTCAAAAAAAAGGGTTCCTAATATGAAACAAGAGGGTTTCCTTATATGAGATCGTATCTCATATTAGAAAATTAAGGGAAAAAATAAAGAAGTTTTCTGTATAAACGCTTTTACTATACAATAGTAGGAACATTGCAAATCACAGACTTCAGTCGTAATTATAATTAATAAATTATGGTATAATTTTTACATGGTACCTTGTATAATTTTTCGATGACTGTCATTTTAAAAACATAAAAATACTAAGATTAGGAGTCAATTACAAAGTAGTTAGTATATCAAACTTATATACTTATTATAAAATGAAATAGTCAGAAAATGAAGAAAACAATTAAAGAATTATATTAGGAATACCTCCGATATCTCATATTACGAACTTCGCTTTGCGGTTTTACGATCACTAAATTACATCTACAATTAAGAAATTCAACGTGTCCTGTATTTTCCTATTAATATGATCTTACGCTATCATTATATGCAGCATTTATTGCCAAATATTTATTTATTATATAATTAACCAAATTTAAAGACTTGTCTCATAAAACTTTTTAACATCCAATTTCATCCAAAAAATTTTTTTTTGCAACGACTACACGCATGATCTAATAATGAATTTTCCACTAAATAGGTTTTATTCTAAGAGTAATGAATTTATGGTGGAACCAACACATAGCACTTATTAGTTTAGCAGAAACCTCGCTATCTCATATTACGAGCCTATCTCATAATAGGCGATCTTACCCTATATAAGTACAACTGCACATATCGCCACTACAGCTTGCCTACCATATCGCACGTGATCATTCATCAATCTTTTTTAATTGATATCTCGACTATTATTGCGAATATCGCTAAACGCTATAGGACATTTATGTTCACCTCAATCTGTTCTACATTCCCACAAAAATTGTGAAGGAGAGTCTGAGATATCCCGTAGATATATAAAATTTATGTATGCGTGCTCTTCCCCCTGAAGAATATATTGAATATATTGATTTTACGATATACATTAGTAAAAGAACATAAAACAAATTTTTCATTTAATATAATATTCTTTGTCAAATTCACATGAAACATATTTTAGATACACTTGGGAGAGAGACATCAATCACTCAGCCAAAATTTTGACTTCTTTCCAGATACATACTGATCTCACGGTCGGACGTCTACGCTCGCTTATACACCAATCGCGGCATAATGTGGATGTTGATAGCGATATGGACGCTAAGCTTCTCGCTTCTGTTGCCGCCATTGCTAGGAATCTGGGGTACTCTAGGATTGGACTCGGCTAGTTTTTCCTGTACCATTTTGAAGAAAAACGGTTCCAGCCCGAAAAAGTTTTTGTTCGTTCTGGGTTTCTTGTTACCGTGCGTGGTGATCAGTATTTCTTACCTCTGCATATATTGGCGTGTTCAAAGAAGCCGGAAAAATCTCGAGGCACACGCGCCGAAGGAGCGACGGGGTGGCTTCCAACGTAGGGAGGATTCCAGAGTAACCAGATTGATGCTTACCATCTTCCTCTGTTTCCTGATTTGCTTCATGCCGCTGATGCTGATGAACGTGGTCGACGACAAAATGAAAATTCCGGTGCTTCATATCGTAGCGTCTGTGCTCGCTTGGGCGTCCGCAGTGATAAATCCGTTCATTTATGCCGGTACTAATAAACTATACAGAGAAGCGTACAAGCAGGTATTATGTCCTGCTACAAGTAGAACACTTACGGTTGGTCCTAAGCCAGCGCATTCTCATTCGAGCAAAGTTTCGTCACCACATACGACGTAAACGAAAGACAACGTATACTCGCAGACAATCGTTTCTTCTCGGAAGTGAAGCGAGCGAGAAAATCGACTCACAGTAATATTGTTTATAGATATTCTTTATAGATGTATTGTAAAGTTAGGAAGTAGTAACACTCTGTAGAGAGCTCTCTTTATCACAGATGACACATAACTGTAAATGTAAAGTTCTGAAGCTGGGCCTCTATTTTTGAAATAGTTGCGTATACGTAAGTTTTACTGCGCAGATTTAATTATACTATAAAATAGCTGCGCAATGAAAATTACATATACGCAAAAATTTCAAGAATAGTGGCCCTGGAAGCTCTCCAAAAATATAAGACTTTATGTATTGTATATGGTTTTGACAAATAAACGATCACGAAAAATGAGAAATTCATCGGAATATCGTGGGACGGTAAAATATTCGTCAGGTATAAAAATTATAAAAAAGTAGAATAAAATGCGTATAAAAATGTATTTTTCGTTTTATATAACACATAGGTATTTTTGTATATATATCGCTATGTTACAATACAATGACACTTTTACGTAACATGTAGTCTACATATGTTTTTCCACGAAAAAAGGACGTGTTTTCAGTTAAAAAAAAGAGATAGTTGGTAGGTATAAAGAAATATCAACATTTTAACTTAAATATATCACTACGAATCGTACGAATGAAAGATTCATTGGATCGCGTTAAGTACTTGAAGCAATCACATTTCCAACTTGACATCTGTCACGACAATTTTAGTTTTTCTGCTAATTTTGTTCAATCAGGAATATACGTATATACAATTGCACACGAGTATTAATAATTTAATATATTTGTACTCTTGAAATGTGTGTGGAAGTATTATCGAATAATTGCGAAATCTAGTAATTGCAAAATAACATTGGTATATTTTTTGAGTATACAAGTAACGAGATTTTAAGGACTACAAGCCACGAAGATATATGCATGATTTTCTCACAACTGATATTTTTATATAAGTAAATTATAATATTTTTTATAGAAATAAATTTAGAACATCAATAAGTAAAAATTTCAAATATTTTCACACACACACATACGTGCGCGCACAGAGAGAGAGAGAAAGAGAGAGAGAGAGAGAGAGAGAGAGAGAGAGAGAGAGAGAGGGAGGGAGGGAGGGAGAGAGGGAGAGAAGGAGAAGGGGACAGAGAGAGAAAGAGAGAGAGAGAGAGCAAAGATTATCTAGATAAGCTAAGTGTAATATTTTATGTATTAAAAAAAAAGAAATGTATAAAAATGTCTAGAATAAAAAAAGTCTATTTTCTATAGTATTTAATAACGCTTGTCGCGCTTCATGCACATATGTATCAATTATAATATGACTTTTTCTTAACTTTCTTACCTGTTTATTATTAATCGTTAATTTCAGCTACTTGCTGCTAAATATGGACGGAAATTGTACAGATGTTTCTGTAGTATTATCGTACATTACTTAGGCTATGGTGAAACTTGAGTTTAATATTATCAGATAAAATGTAGATATGCCACTAGAAATCTATATACATTGGTAACGATAAATGCATATTATCTCTTAAATTTAGGAGCTTTCTGTGTGAACACTGTGCGATATTTACAAACTTTTGAAATTGAGGCTGCGTTATTCATCAAATGCGGATATACTTACAATGTACATGTTAATAAGTATGTTAATTTAGCTCCAATTCCGGTACATACGGTTCTGTGATTGCGGTGATGGGACAAATACTCAAAGTATCCTATAAATAAAAGAACGCATCAGTCATACACACACACAATCAGTCATATATCAGCAAATGTTTTCTTCAAGGATATAAATACATGTAAAGCGCCTTAAGGCTCCTGGCCCCTCGCATTGTCTATCTCTTTTTAATGACGTTAGAAGCGAGAAAATCGGAACGAAGCGGAATATCTTACAAATTTGTTTAATCGATTGTAAGTGTTACTTTATGGATATATATATTTTTATTTTAATTTCGCAAGAATTTCGCAAGTATTTCGCAAGAATTTTCAGCATGCATTTTTTCGCTTCTGACGTCATTAAAAAGAGATAGACAATGCGAGAAGCCAGGAGTCTTAATAATAATGTCACAAACGCTTTTGAGAAGTAACAAAATTAAATTTTTTTTTACCAATCGCGTAAGTTCATCGAATGTCGGTCGTTCTTCAGGATCGTTCCGCCAGCAGGACGACATGACCTCGTAGATTGGGTCCGGGATATCCAACAATTGCGACAATCGAACACCTCGCGCGATTGCGTCCTCCACTTCACTGTCAAGCGTCAAATTCGAATATGGTGTACCACCCATACTGAACATCTCCCATAAAAGTACTCCGAACGCCCAGATCACGCCCGGCTGGTGCTTCTTCTGGTTGTCGAAACACTCGATGGCCATCCATCTGGCATATTTCATGTCTTCCAAGCCATATTTGGCGATACCGTGACCCATAAGCTTAGGTGTCCAATCGTTGGACAGACCCACGCTTCGTGCGCAAAGGTGAGTGTGGACAATTTTGTGACTCTCCAAATACTGCAAGGCGGCCGCGATTGAGGATGAGATTGATAATATTTGATCCACCGGGAATGTATTACCACATCGCGCGCCCAACAAGCAATTCTTCAAGATCTGCGGCGGCAATTCGTACACGACGTACAGCGTGTCGGGAATTTCACAGGTACCCACCAGGCTAGCGAGATACTTCATGGTACCAGCTCGGATGCACACGTCTAATTCTCGTAACATGTGTCTTTTCTCAGATCCTCTTAACGCGCCATCGGCTATAGTATGGACCGTTACCAAGTGAGATTCGTCATTCCTCGAGACAGTTCCTGTGTGAACGGTACCGAATCGTCCTCTACGTACGACGAAGTTGTCGATGGTCAGAGAACTTCGTGGTATACTCCAGACTTTTTTCTTTAGTTCCTGATAATGATTCACTCTTTCGGGAATGTCGTCCGGAATGTAGCCAATGTTATCCACCTCGTATACTGGACCTTGCAACGTAAGCTCCTGCTGTTCTGGCAGCTTTCGCATATGGAATCTCTCGTGTCGCCGTCGTAATACGAAATACAGTAGTATCGAAGCGGCGAGCAGTATACTCACGATCGTGATCGCTATACAAAGCACGAGAGCCGTCGAATCCATTTGATTCGCTACGTGACTGAACGCGTTATTGGCTAGATCAGAATAAGCGCGCTGCATTTCCGCCTGCAATCGCGAGATCACCGCCAATCCGATTTGCGCGGAGACGAAATTATCCTTTAACGGAGCGTTGTAGTAACCCCCGATGAGTTTCCCATCGCCTACGATGAATCTCTGGTATCTGTGAAAATCCGACGGGTCGAACTGTGCGGTAACATAATAATTAAAACCCTGCTCCAATGCGTTCTTGTAGTTCAAGTATTCGACGTCGGCGCCGATCGGAGGTATGGCGCCAGCTTGAACAACCACAACTTGATACGTGCTGATCGGTCCGCATTCGCTGTGACCCTCGGTAAAAACGACCGTTACAGTACTACCATCGCGTTCCACAATTTTAGGCATGGCTGGTTTATCAGGTGGACCTATCGCAGTCCATTCTACAACGTATGTCGCGTCGCTGAGTCCCTGCATATTGCTTGCGATGACCGATATATTATACTTGGTGCCAGGTTGAAGACCCTTTAGAGTTGTACTGTTGGATGCTCCTCCTTGAACCTGATTCTCGACAGGCGGTAAAATGTTACTCGCGTGTGTTTCTACGGCGATAGCACGGAGAGTATACGAGTTGACATTGCCATTGGGTATATTGGGTGGCTCCCACGTTATAATAAGAGCGTCTATACCATCGCGAATTACGTATATTCTCCTCGGTGGACTTGGTCCTACAAGACATTGCGCATTTGTTCCACATGTATACAGGTAACCACACATTGCATTTGTTTTACATGTATACAGCAATAACATAAAATAAATAAATCAGACAGTATTAAGAGCCGATGCTGGATGTTTTGTGCAAATGTCTATGATGGGGAGAATAATAATGTTTGTAGTGTCAAACGCATGCGCCGAAATGATTTTTCCGTCTTTACAACGTACACGATGAATCAATCTTCCACTTACAAACCGACCCTAAATATTTTAATAATTAATAATTATAATAATTATAGAAAAATATTAGGGAATTTAGAGTCGGTTTGTAAGTGGAAAATTAATTCATCGCGTACGCTGTAAAGACCGAAAAATCATTTCAACGCGTACGTTTGACACTACAAATATTATTATCCTCCCCATTATAGACATTTGCATCCAGCATCAGCTCTTAATGGCCCTATTCCTGTCAAAATTTAAGTGTTACCTATAGAGAGCCTTAATGATTTATTTCGTAAGTAAATCAGCTTTCGGTTTTTAAAAAAGAAATTTATCTCAGTTATCGGTGCATAATCTTCATATACTGTGTGCAATAATTTGCCAAACAATAATATTTGATATTATTTGTTATATGAAGCAACAATGCAGTAACAATTACGATATCATTCTTATGTGCTATTCCTCCCTAAATTTGAATGTTCTCGATACATTTATAATTACCCATGATGTCAATTTGGACAAAACTTTACCTTGCTGACCAGTGGAGTAGACACTTATAGCGTCATGACTGCCGCAGTAATTACCAGTACCACTACTAATACTAGTATCATTTTGGCAAGGATCGCAGTTGCTTGACAGGCCGTTTCTGCCAAAGCTGCTGATGCAGTAACACTGTTGTCCATTCATTAATCCTGCAAACCTGTTAAACGAGAGCATTCTGAAATCTGTCTGTCTCTCTCTCTCTCTCTCTCTCTCTCTCAAGTTGATATTTTTTTATATTAAATACTTACATGTAATATAGAGAACGACATTTTCGGATACAATCGGCAGGTATACTCGGATATCCAAAGACTGGGGAGAGCAACTCGGGATCCGCAACAGAGCTGCGGAAACAACCTTCGTACTTCTGAGCACACGCCGAGTAAATACCGTAGAAGAACAAGAGAGATACGATCATGGTGATTTCGGATGTCAAGTTGCATCGACTAGTCGCTCTGTACCATAGCGAGATGAATTAGACGTTTGGAATGTACAATGAGCGTATGAGTCAACAAGCGCAATGCAGACACTATTCGATGACACAATGTCGAGAATATGAACAGATTTAGTTATGCGCTCAATAATTCGGAACTTTTTACTATCGACAAGTCGTAAGATGACCTTGTCATATTTACTAAATACTCGTATAAGTTCATCTCGGCTGAATGTCAGAATAGCGAGAATAAAATTGCAAAATTTAATGAAGCATTCCTCGACGAGCAAACAATGCTTCGAGACTGACATAAAACCACTCTCGTTTATGAATCAGCCCCGTCTAAGTGTAGGTTAGAGCATGCAGTAATGGCCATGGCTAATGTAACATTAGATGGTATAAAATTGTAACTTGAAAACAGTATTCCTATTGGAGGAACTAACGGAAATATTACGGAAATAGCCGAATCCATAGGTTTGTTCGCGTCGCATGCCCCAACGTACTCCTACTCGCTCCAACGCACTCTGATTGGTTCACGTCACCACGCGGACCAATCAGAGTGCGTTGGAGCGAGTAGAAACACGTTGGGGCATGCAACACGACAAACTCATAATAAGCACGGCCTGAAAAGAAGAGCGTCCCGATTGACCACAGTACGATTGGACATAACCAACCGATGAAAAGAATTATCTAGTGAATACTAGGTCGAACCAATCATTACAATCTGTGTCCAATCATATCGTGGCAATCGGGTCCCACCCCCTGAAAAGTACTTAGGCCATATGGTTCCTGCACATAGGACGCGGTAATGTTTGCCGCGCAGCGGAAGTTCACGCGGCAGCCAATCAATATGCTGCTTTCCGTGATAACTTTCTAGCTCTTACGAAAAAACAATTTTTACATATTGATTGGCTGTCGCACGGACTTCCGCCGCGCGGCAAGCATTACACGTTCTGTGAAAATTATACAATTGTATATAATAATAATCTATTAATTTATAAATACATTTATATTCACATATTCGTAAAAATTATTTTTTTATCTCGTTTATCTCCATGCACACCACGTTTCCACTTATTTGCGTCATTTTAATATAATTTTATTTTTATTTTATGCTCCATTATGTTTTTTTATATTAATATTTATAAAGAATTACAATTCTTCGATATTTCTTGTTTACACTCTCCCATATCCGTCAAAAAGGTTTTGCAAACTAACAGACTCACTACTTAAACAGTGTTACTAATGTACAGAAATTAAAATTATATCGTCTAGAGGTTTTCGTTTGTACCAATACTATCCCCTCCACTTTTCGGGAAAATGTAGGCTGCGTTCCGTATATGCGCGCATTTATCTATAGTTAATGTTACGTATACTATAGGAAATGCGCGCTTCATGCGCTTCGGAACGCATTCGTAGTCTAACCCCAAGCCACACGGGAGCGGTGCACTTGGACACGGTGCATTTGGACACAGCCAATCACAGCACCGTGTGATTAGAGACATTTGTAGGGTCCCTTGGAACAGCGACTTGTGATTGGACTGTGTCCAATTGCCCCGTGTCCAACTGATATACACCCAGCCACACTGGGCTGCGTTCCAAAACTCTACTGACGAGTAGAGTAGCATTTAATTGACCAATAAAAACAAAAATAACTAAGATTTTTTCATCATGATTGGTCAATTAAATGTACTCTACTCACCGAGTAGAATTTTGGAACGCAGCCCTGAATGTTTCCGAACGGCTATCGTCTAGTAGTGTGCACACAATGGCCTGGTTTACATCGTGCACTTGATACACGTACTAAATACGCGTAACTTTCTATTAGATAATCTTAATATCGACAATGCATATCAACAGCGACGCTTCTATCGATACAATACGTTTTGTTGATGAATATTATATCAGCTTAATATACCGTTGTTTATATATATATATATCGTCGATATTAAGATTATCTAATAGAAAATTACTATTTAGTACGCGTATCAAGTGTACGATATAAACCAAGCCAATGGCTGCATTCAGTAGACTCAACAGTTGCACAACAGTTGAGTAATTTGTCAATGTAATTGGTCTAGATTTAGGGATCTAATAGCAAGAACCAATAATCGTTGATTGCTCACTGAGCGCTTTTTCTACTGAATGCGCCCAATGTGTGTTTCCGAACGCAGCCTAATAAAATATAGATAAACAATAATATTGGCTCGAAGAGACTATAATTATGATAGAATATATTTTATTTAAAAATGTTTTTAATACAGTCTCTCTTGTTTGTGTTAGCAATGATAATAACAAAACAATATTTGATAACGATATAAATAAGAGAAGTACAATGTTAACAATTCAAAATCATTTTAGAAATTATAAAGTATATATGCGATTATTTAATAAAAATATTTAATAAAAATCATATTTAAGATTAATTACATGTCACTTGACATATTATACTCATACAAATAATAAAAATGTAGATACACATGTAAATTGTGTAACTTGTTTTGTACTACGAGATATCTACCGAAAGTATACAAGGAAACCCATACAGCACAAAATCTCCTGGGGACGTCCCACAGATGTCCTGAGGACGTAGAAACGTCCCCAGAACGTTCTCAGGATGTACTCTGGACGTCTCCTGGATATTTGTGCTGCGAGGGAATTAAAGTTACTTAAATTTTCTTTTTAAGAATTCCTGGGAATTCTTTCATTAAATGGCAGACCTTGTTCAATTTTATAATATGATATAAATTGTAGTACAAATTTCATGTCAAAGTTTCTCATATTAAACTTACACACACACACAGATAACGCGGCTAAAATAAATTTTATTTAGACTTCGTCTCGTGCTTCCATGTGCATACGAAATAAGAACGTGTATATATGAAAGTTTGCTTTCTATACAAATTGGGGTCCTACGCATCATGGCTACACAGCTGAACAGTTATATACATTGGTACTACTTGAAAAAGTAGGTTTTCACTCGCACTCAAAACCGAGTGTCTAGCTCCGTACGTCAAAAACTTACACGTCGAATTACGTGCACCACAAGATCTCGTGTATATCGCGTAACATCATGCACACCTGACGCGACGAATTCCACGATCGCCGGCCTAACAGCGAAACCGTGCGCGCTGAGGCAATGCACCGTCGGAATAGCAATGAACTGCGCAACGGATGATAGGTGTGGCACATGAAAAAGGAAAGGAACACATCGCGGCTATACGAGCGTGTTGCTGAGTAGCTAGAATAGTGTGCACGTGTACGTTCCGGAAGAATGAAAACTCCCGATGTGACTGGCTCCAACATTGCTTCTGCTCGTCGATGCGAATCGTCGCCCTAAGGAAATCACAGTTGGGCTGTGTGGAGGGTGCCCATCGCATCGCAGCCCTTTACGCGTATACAGTGGCGCGTGTTATCCCATTTATCTCAAAAGCGCATCATTCCTGCGCCTATGCGTCTCCGTTTGTCGCGCGGTGATCTACGTAGAGGCGGCGGTGGTGGGGGCGAAAGCAGCGGCGGCGGCGCAGGGGAGGGACGCGAGGCGCCAAGGGGGTTCCGTGCGCTGCGAACGAGAGAGTGAGGTTAGCTGTGTGTGTCGTGAGTGTGCGCGCGCTCGCTTTCTCTCTTTCTCTCTCGCACGCGCGCACCAATTCGTGCTTCGTCTCGCTCGCTCTAGCCGTACATACGCGCGCGCGCGTACGCATGCACGCACGCACGCACGCACGCACGTACGACGGACGTACGTACGTACGTACGTACGCATGCACGTACATACGCACGCACGCATGCACGCACGCACGCACGCACGGCTGTCGTGCCTTCTGTGTCTTTCGCGCGCGCTAGCTAGCTAACTCGTTCATTCGCTTGCACGTTCGCCCACCCGCCCGTCTGACTGTCTGTCTGTCTGTCTGTCTATCTGCTGTCCGCTTACCCGCCCGCCCGCCCGCCCGCCGTTCGCCTGTCCGTCCGTCGGCTGGCGCGCGCGCGCGCGTTAACGGAATTCGCGATCAGGCACGCAGGGACCACCGACTAATGTTTAAATGGACGCATCGTCCATCATCACCCAAGTGTCGCGGGATGACGAGATATGTGCGTTCAACAGCGAGAAAGGTGCGTATCGTGTGTTAACCCGGTGCCACCCTCCTCTCTGCGTCTGCAAGCTTGTCCGCCAGATGCTGCCGGGATTCGTTTCCCTGCACCTGTTACGGTACCCGCACCCGCGTTTCTCTCCTCGCCCTACCTCTTCGCTTAACTTCACCTCTTGTCGCTCCCCCCTCCCCTTCTCTATCGCGTGAACAACTTCTCGCATGTCTCTCTTCTCATCTCCTTTTGCTCTTCATTTACATTGTCATCCCCTTTTAACCCTTCATTATTCCATTCTTTTGTCTTCTGTGTAATGTAGCGAATTTTCTTATTTTCTTGCATGATGTCATGCGCCCTTTAATCCTTTATGCGCTATAGACTGCTGCATAGTGGCAATTTGCAAAAGAAACAGCAAAAAACATATATTATAAAAGGTTAATTGGAGCAACATTATTGCCATAATATATACAAGATACAAATTTCAAATCTTTTGATAAAGATTATGCTTCTTCATCTGGCAGTATTATTTTATTGACTTGGCTGTAAGATACTTTAGAAAAACTGAGTTTGAATCTAATGTAAATTTGATATTAGATTTAATCTTAATATGAGCTTCTATATTAGTAAAATTTAATTGAACAAATATATCTCAACATGGTTTCTTTTTTTCTCTCTTTCTCTTTAAAGATCTTGCCAAGAAAAAGAAATACATTTGTTAAAATACAAGCATAAATGTCTCTTTTTCAGAGATATATGATTTTTATGGGGTACAATACATGTACGATATTAATGTCTTTAATAACTACTTGCTATTTTTCTGTGTGTATCATAGCCCAATTGCCAGGAGAAAATGAAGCAGCCAGTAACAGCCCATCTAGTGGCAAAAGATCGAGGGAGAGAAGCCGTGGCTTCCTGCGTTCTCTATTTTGCTGCCTTGGAAGGGGTCGAGGTGGCAGTTCGAGGAGTTCCAAGGCGAGTTCTCTACAGGGAGATGGTCGAGGCTCGCCACCACCGGGGACTGGATCTCCGAGGTTCCTGCTGCCGCCGGTTAGGCATCAAGACATGCACAAGAAGTGCATGGTAATCGACTTGGATGAGACTCTGGTGCATAGTTCTTTCAAGCCGATCAACAATGCGGACTTTGTTGTTCCTGTAGAGATTGACGGAACAGTACACCAAGTGTACGTCTTAAAGAGGCCTTATGTGGACGAGTTCTTACAAAGAATGGGTGAATTGTACGAATGCGTATTGTTCACTGCAAGCTTGGCTAAGGTATGTTCTCACTAATAAAAGAGAGAAAAATTATAAAAAAGTAAATATTTTTTAGTTCTAATTATAAAAACTTTAATACTACTATATAATTTACTATAATACTTACTATGTACAAGTAAATAAAAGCAATCTACTCAACAAGTATATAAAAATAATCTTTGAAATATTCTTTGGTATTATTTGCTTAAAAATTACAATAGATTGTTTATATTTAGAATAGTTGCTCATGTAATATTTAATTATTTATTTATATAATAGAGATGAAACTTACTAAATTTGTTTACTTTAGTGATATGATACCTAATCTGTAAAAGATAAATCCTTTAGATTTATCTTTTTATTTAGCATGTACCAACATACGCACCATTGCATATATGTTGATTATACAATTCTCTATGCAAATTATACATATATTGTTTTATAAATATATTTATAAACACCTACTTCATCAGGTGAAAAATTGCTTGATCTTTGTATGTAAAAATAATTACATAATTGAAAAAATTGAAGTATCAACTAGAGATTTTAACAATAATAGCATTTTGCAATAATATATCTTTAATCTATATTATAAAATAAATTTAATATAAAATGACTTGTTCCAAAAGAGACTTTTAAAAAGAAATTTCGAAAATTTGTTGAGATATGTATAAAATTTTGCTTAATACATCTCTTAATTATACTGTGTTATTTTGCAGTATGCAGATCCAGTGGCAGATCTATTAGATCGGTGGGGTGTATTCAGAGCAAGATTATTCAGAGAATCTTGTGTGTTTCACAGAGGGAATTATGTTAAGGATTTAAACAAATTAGGCCGAGATTTGCACCAGATCATTATTGTAGATAATAGTCCTGCCAGCTACATTTTTCATCCAGATAACGCGGTAAAATATATTCCTTACAATAGGTAGCTTCGTTTAAACCGGAATTTCTATAATATTTAGGGGTAAATTAGATCTGATTAATTAATAAAAACGATAATATTTTGACAGGTTCCAGTGGCGTCCTGGTTCGACGACATGACGGATTCCGAGCTATTAGACCTGATACCTTTCTTTGAGAAACTCAGCAACGTAAAGAACATCTACACGGTGCTGTGCAACAGTAATCATCCATACAATCAAGTGACAACCGCGCAAACGGTGCCGAATAATCAGAACCCGCCAGAATCAGGTTCGCTAGCTGCCTCCTAGCCCCACCTGAATCCTGGCAACGCAGCCAGTCTTGTCGCTCAATGCACCTTCCGGAGAATCCTGAGGGGACTGCTTCACGTGACCCACTACTCGCTGTGCGGCCAAGGACCTCGAAGCGTCCCTCGTTGACCTGCGGGGGAACGTCCGATCAGCGTGGTCGAATGTCTTATACCTTAAACGTCATCCAGTCGACACAATACCACAGCTGCTGGTATCCATCTTCCTGGCAAGCAACGCGACGAAGACTGAGTCAGCTTCGAAGCGCGAGTGTTCTTCCATTTTGCCACCGTTGAGGACGACGAACTGTTGTGCCGATATTCCTGTGCACGGGCAGGGTGAGAAACACAAGCTCGGTGCGTTCGGGAAATAAACCTGGCGAAGGATTGCGAAGAGTCAATCTCGGGCAGAAGTTACTTGCGAGAAGTCGACAATCGGTCGCGAGAAAGAAGAAAACGATGATAATAGAGTGACTGGGATAGCATCTACGGATGCTATCTTAATTCGCTGTCCGGGATAGCGAATGGGTGCAAAGGTATATTAAAAAAAGAGAGAGGGGGAAGGGGAGAAAGAGCTAAAAGAGAAGAATCGCTCTGAGTCGTTTGATGGGCCATGTTGTGTTGTTGCCGTCGTTCAGTTCTTGTATTCGAGCCAAAACATCGCAAAGCTTTGTTCGATTAGCATTACGAAGAAGATACCAACGTTCCGATCACGTTTTTAAATGCTTCTAATGCAACTTGTAGGATACGTAAAAAAAAGAGGGTAACAGTAGCAGATAGAATTCGAAATGCATGAGTATTTTATTTTGATTTTGATTTTAATTATTTCAATTATAATATTTCAAAATTTCTAATATTTCAAAGTTTTGAATTTAGCACTAAACATTATGGGTCTTGGAATGCGTGGATACAAGAAGCCAAGATCATAGATATTAATACCTAACTTGAAAACACATACAGAAAGTTGAAAATTCAAAGACTTCTAAAATTGGTATTCTAAAATTTTGCAGATCTAAGTATTATAAAAAAGTATAGGAATCTAGAAATATTATGCGTCGTCTACAATGGCAAAAGGAGTAGTAGTAAGAAATAAGCAGTAAGTAAATAGACCAATCACAATCGATTATTCTTGAATCGTGAGAATGAAATTGGTCAATTTGCTTACTGCTTATTTCTTACTACTACTTCTACTGCCATTGTAGACGACGTATTATACATCCTTAAAGAGTAAAAGTTTCTATGTTCAAAGTTTTGCGACATTAATCACTAGAACATTTGAAAAGCCAAGTGTACAAACTAGATTTCAAAATAATCAAAAGAGAAAAAGAATTTGATGAAGATAAAACATATATTGTAACTCTAAGGTTTAAAAAAGCTCAAGCTTGTGTAATATATAATTATCAGCGATAGAGCTATCTCTCTCTTAACACTGCCGATCGTTGTAAGAACAACGATTTTTTAGTCGCGTATTCAGTCAAATAAGCTTTCACATCCACGTATTTATTAAGAGTATCGCGAATTAAGAGGTAAATTTCGTAAATTATTAATTTTTTATAAATACTATATATTTGATTTCTACAAAACAATAATTTTTAATTGATTCAGATTCATATTTCCTCAATTGTAAAAAATGTGATTGAAAATATTTTATTGTGTGAAAAAATGTTAAGTATCTTAAGATCTACGCATCCAAGAAACCATAACATTGAAATTATCAGTAAATAAAGTACTAACAAGGAAGATCTGACAACTCGAAGCTTCTTTGTAAGATCTGTATATTTGCAGAATATATTTAATAAAATTATTTCTTTCAAGAAAATCACAAATATTGAGCTAAGCATTTCATAAATATTGCATTTTAATAATATATTAAATATTTCCTGCTACTGTACGCCTTTTGTGCTGGACATTCTGTACATTTAAAATAAGCATTTAAAACGAGGCGATATTTGAATTTTGCAGAGTACATGCTAAAACATTTCTTATCAATTCTTATCAACCCTCCACTCTGCCGCTTGTAAACATCTGTTTTTATTTATCAAGCTCATTGTCAAATATATAATCATATTCTTATAAGTATTTATTGGGAATATTTTAATTATACTTATAAGAAATAAACATTAGTATTATTATTTTATCCAACAGCAAAATCTTTGTTTTATTTTTTGTCACAAAGTTTCAGCGAATAAAAAATGGCGATAAAAGGTGTGTGAGGGTTGAAAACTGTTAATTAAATTCATCAAAGAATGCCAATTGATTCGCAGAAACTTTGAAAAAGTTGCATAGTTGATCAGTTTACTAAGCTGTCTTGCTGAAGACAGAGAAAAGAACAAATAAAATAATCAATCGAATAATTATGGATCGTATTGTTGCCAATGTTGATAAATTAAAAACTGGGCCAATGCATATCATTGTTTCCCTCCAAGCTAATGAAGTTGCGTCACATTTGACCATTCGTTTTTGGAGCAAGAAAATGATAATCGGTGCTATTTTGTAGTAACTTGAACTGCATGCATTTTTTTATTAATTTAAATTTTCCGAGAATTTTGGCTTATTAAAAAAATGTAGAGAGAGCAAAATTTATTAATTACTTTCTCAAAATCCAAACGAATAATACAATTGTACTGTAATAAAAAATTTACTGTACTAAAGTTTTACTTCATTTTATCATTAATAATCGTCGATACGAATTGTCCGATACTCGTGATTGTCGGTGACGTATCATCTTATTTCGTAATATTTTTACGAAATAAATCAGGGAATTGAGAGGAATTGAGAGGGAATAAGTGCTGTAAAATTAGATTTCTAGCTTTTTGACACTAGCAATCGATTTTAACGTTTGCAGGTTACTGTTTTTTTAACTTATAATTTTAAAGACAAGACGATATCTGACAATTAACATTTTCTTGTCCCAATAAAACGAATCGCACGACAATGTCACTAACAAATTAGAATAATTTAGATGTAGCCCTTGAGGGGCAATAAGCGATGGTATATCCTTACATATGTGCATATATTTACTAACGCGTCATTTGTACACGATTACAGCTGTTTGTTCGAAACATAACGAATGTACAAAATCCATTGTACTACCATAATCAACTCAAATTGTTATTATTCGTGCTTTTACCTCTGTTAATATTATATTATTTTTATTTTATATTTACATATATATATATATATATATATATATATATATATATATATATATATATATATATACACATACATACATTCAAACATGTGTGTACTCACACATGTACGCCCGCAGGCATATGTGTGTGCGTGTATACACGTATGAACACGTACGTATATATCGGCGCTAATGTCGTCACTCCAATGCAAAATTGTATATTTAAATCTTGAATTTGGAATAAAAAGAGAAATGAGTTTTTACTCTGTACACACTTCTCTGCTACTAAAAAATACAAATTCTACTCACTGTTAACAAAGATCGCCTAAATCAATTATTACGATGAAAGAAACGAGTTCTTCGAATTTGCATTGAAATAATGACATTATTATCGATATATTCAGTGAGTTATTAATTAACTTTATTAACTTCTAATGAACTCGGTTGCGACTGGTTTATTTTCTTTCTTTCATCTGACTGGAAAGTAGATAAAAACTTGTAATACGACTAATAAGGAGATGATCCCTTATAATATACCCGCCATAAGAACGACAAAAAAGCAAGCATCTCTGTAATCTAAGAACGTATATATGCTTAGAGCTCTATCTGGAATGCAAAATTTTGAGTTATAAAAATTTAAAGATTTAGTACACTATAAAATCTAAAAGCACAAGAGAGTGCCTGAGTATCAAATACTATTTGTACATCTAAAAATGCTATTAACACACAATCAGAAATATTGACATATAATTTTTTACTTTTAGTCTCTCTAAGAATTACATAAATCACGTATACATTATTTATGAGTGAAAAAACGTAGTTTGCTTATGTGACATTAATGAAACATCTCCATGTGTACTAGAAATCGCTTTTGATAAGGAACTACTTTGGAAAAGCACAGCTATCGGTTATAGAATATTTATTCTTTATATTTTCGAGTTATATATTTGATTACCAGAGAGAGTGAGAGATATCTGCCCTTTCATTTTGTGGCGCAATTCTTGGACTACTTTGTACCTTTTAGTGTTTTATTAGTTTTTTTTATCGATGTAACGATAGTTCGGAAGAATCCGATCGTTCGAATTATTGTTTCTACTTAAACTAGCAAGAGATTTATTGAAGAGATTTTTTTATGCGGCTTCCAATTCTTCCATCTTTCTGTACTTAGTAAATGTACCGATGTTTTTTGTAAGGATTATATATACACACTACGCGTGCGTATAATGTAATGTTCCCATTATATAACGCCCATCGAAACGACTCCGTATGACTGTCGTACGTTTGTTCCGGAACAAATCTCTGTATGATCCAAGGATCCTAGAATCCATAGATTTAAATATCCGGAAAGCGAAAAGCAAAAGTAGAGAATTGAAAAAATTTGTCGTCTTGATCTATGAATTTGTTTGATTAAAGAGAACTACGAATATTAAAATGAAAAAGTCGAATTTTCTATTACAAATACCCAAAAATATATATGAATCTATTGAGTCAAGTATGTACAATGATTGTACAATTCATGATAATTAGCAAAATTCACTAGTAGAATAATGTGATTTTAAAATTAAAGAAGTCATGGATAAAAAAATAAACAAAAAAATTAAGGATAAAGAATTTTGGGTTCAAGGATTCAAGGATGCATTTTAGCTATACTACAGCATTACTATTACGTTGCTGCGTATGAAAAATCCGTTTTTTTATTTATATCAACTAATCTTTCGAGTAGTTGAGTTGAAGGTAGATTATGTTAATAATAGAATAAAATTTATATATAATCACATAGCGAAAGACGCACGCGTGCACACACCACACACACACACACACACACGCGCGCGCGCGCGCGCATACACGCATACACAGCTGTGCAAGAAATTTATGAAAAAAGCTGTGCAATTTTTAAGCGCCCATTATTTATTTTTTAGAAAAAAACAATCTATAAGCTAGAGGCTTCTTTTATATATATATATATATATATATATATATATATATATATATATATATATGTGTGTATTTATAAGTTGTTTTAAAATTTAGTTATAGAATTTAGTTATTAATAAATATATATATTTTCTTTTATAGATATGTCAATTATACGTGCGTTTCGGATTGTTGTATCTAATTTCACTAAACTACTGTGTACATTCAAAGCGATTCGTGCTTATATCAAGTTGGTATTTTAATAATTGTTAACTAAGAAAAAATAACTTTTCATCGTGCTGTAAAGAGATCTCTAGAACTGAAGATAATCATCAAGAAAAACAGAGATGCAATAATCTAAAAAATCAGGAATATAAATTTAAATATCTCGAGAGAATTAAAACGCTGTGTGTACAGCTGAAAATCGATCAACGAGTTCTCTAGGCTAATTAGTGACAAAATCTTTAACATTTCATACGCAAGCACGTAATACCTCAATCATCCTAATATCTCAAGTAAGCAAAAATTCGGGTGAGATAATGCGTTGCCAATAATGTTCTCTCTCTCGAAATCGCGATTAGGATTCCAAGCCGCCGTACTGTATAATGAAGAGACAAACATGTAAAAATACATACACATATATAAATAGATAAATACACACATACACACACATACATTTTCAAAACGGCAGAGACCGCGCGTGTATATGTGCGTATGTGTGTGTACGTTTGTATGTACTCTGTATGCGTGTACGTATGTGTAAAAAGAAGAATAAGAAAATGAAAAAATAACGTTCAAGTCTTTCGCCGAGCGATGGCCGTCGAGATTCGTTGGGACTTTTTATATACAGTCAGAAAATTTCTTAATAAAAAGAAAACATACGGAAAAGAAAAGGAGCGATAAACAAGCGCGTGATTTTTGTGTACTGTACAATTAGGAATAATTGTATCGTTATTGCAAATTGTATAAAGGTCTCTTTTTTCATGATTTATTGTTAACCCGTTGAAGGCCCCCATCGCCTTTTCAATTGCAATAAAGTGGCATAATCCTGTTATTCACGTTGCGCATTTAATATTAAATGCGACCTCGGCCCAGAGCTCTCAGTTTTGTTACATCAGCAGCGTTGAGGCTCACGGACACGGGCGCTCGCTTGTAAGTTCGCCCACCGTGCTGCCAGCGTGCTGCTAATGTAACAAAACTGAGAGCTCTGCCTCGGCCCACTATTGCATCAAATATTGTCTCCGTATTGGACAATTGTGATTTATTTATTTACATTCGTAACATCGGAAATAAAAAAAATTAATCGTATATACACAATGCACTCTTGTAGAAGCACGTGAAATATCTTAGAAAGGATTTGAATTCAAAGTCAGTCTTGGAGATAAAATTTTGTTGTAAAACGAGGTAAAAATTGTTTCAAGACCAGAATAATGTATCTTCTCATTGATAATAAATTTTCTATTTATATCTTTTAACAGAATAAAAAATTATAAAATTAAAAGTATAAAATCTGCGAAGGTAATGAAACGTGCATTGAACGCTACTACATGGAGTGGTTCACCTAATATTACTACATGGAATATTTTTTTACATCATATTAGAGCAAATATCACCTAAAAAAAATTTAAAGAAAGTTGATATATAGTTATGCGAGTAAAGACCATGAAATGGTTCGGAATTGCATAACGTATGTAATAATGAATATTGAAGTATCCCAGTATTAGTAATCGATATGTTACTAAGATTATATCCATACATATACATATCTCGTATAATAGACAATTTTTGCGAATTTCAAACATGTGACTCCATTCTATAATTTTTAATCCTACTTTTCGAATTTTTGTCATTATTACGCATACTTTTACGAGAGTGCAATTCATTACAGGGATTTCTGTCAATTCCATCGTCTTTTGACGTAATCAAGATGTGTGTGTGTGCGTGTGTATGCGTGCGTGTATGTGTGTATATATATAACTAAATCGATTATTGTGTATAGCTTTAAAGTTCAAGATCAGTCGCCACATTTAACGACAAATACGGCGTTAACCATAGAATACTAATCGTATTTATAGGAAATCAACATTAATTAACCGCGTTAAATTGCAATTTCTTCCCCAAAAACGTGATGAAGAAAAAAAATAAACTTTTTATTAAGAATAGTTCGCGTTATTTTTATGGTTGAGAAAACAAAGAAATTACATTAAACTTATTTCGTATTTTTGATATTCTATGATTAAGCGAGATGTTTCAGGTTTTTTTATCCGGATGGACTATTCATTAGGAAAAAATGTCCACTTAATCTATGGAAATAAATCCAGATATTAGAGGCAAAGAGATAAATTAACAACAATAAAATAAATAATATGGATAATTACATATGTCTTATGATGTCGATTGGGTTAAAGATTTCAAATCGAATGAGAGTAGAAGAGCAGGTGTGTAAACGTAAAATTCACGACAATGCCTTAATTTGTAAATAAAAGTTTCATGAATTAACCAACTTTTCATTATACAGTCTTTATTGCTATGAAATCTTCTCGAACGATTGCGATCTTTCTCAATACTGTTAAAAATATATTAAAATGTTTGGCAAAAATATAAAAGTTTTATTTTCTTGTTACATTTTTCTCCTTTTCACAAGTTCTTTTTTTTCTTATCATCTTTAAAATACAAATTTATACTTATTTAAAATACACAAAATATAAAAAGTGCTACTAAAAGAAATATCTAATTATACAATAAAAAATATTGTCATATAAATTGTAAAATAATACTCCAAAATGCAAATATGAAGACACAGGTGTACATGCCTCTCTCATGGCAATCATGAATAGTTCTTAATAAACAAAATTAGCTTACACACACGAAACTGCTGCACTGTAATAAAATTGGAAAATGCTAACAGTACATTAAATGTTATTTATAATTACCTTCATTTTTTATTACATATAAGTGTACAAGAATTGTTTTCATTAATAATAGTCTGATCAATACAAAAATTAGTATTTAATAATATTGCAATAAGCGGTTAAATACATTTTCTCTGCGTCGGCATTAACGGATAAGGCACTATACACAATGAACAAATATTCATTATATTTGCAAATGCACGTAAGTTGGATCTTCATTCTTATGCTGGTATTCTCTTGGGATTTAAGTCGTACATACGTCGCATCCGTTTCTTCAATTCTTGCGGAAATTTATCGTAACACTTCTTGCATGCGGGCTTCAGATCAAACTCGAAAAACTTTGTTTTCTGATTCATTTTCTGGTCACAGAATGCACATGCGAAATGGTGAACGCACCATGCCTTGTTCAACGCCGTGAAAACTAGCGGAAAAATATATTAGGTTTGAATATAAACATTAAAAATAATTATTACTATTACAGTTTTTGGAAATTCGGGCTGAATATACTAGTTAGCAAATAAGAAAGAACATTGTAACTCCAAATGTTAAAAAAATTTTTTTAAATCTAGAATAAAGAGTAAGTCAGGACACAATAAAGATCCATAAAGATAAAAATTTACATTACAAATCGACTAAGTGATCTAATATAGTACTTATACATACCATCTCCAGAAATAACTTGATTACAAACAAAGCAAAGATTTCCAAACAGTTGATGATAATGAGTCTCACAATATGCGAGACCTTTTTTCTCGTAGTGACGATGACCTAGGAATGGCTTCTCGCATTTTGCGCACACAAAATGCTCTACATGCCAATGTTTGCCAAGAGCTGTTACCACACGTTCTTCAATCGGACGTCGACAGGCACCGCAGATGGGAATTCCCATTTTATCGTGACACCGCAAACAATATAGCTCGTTCTATAATATAAAGGAATTCTTCATTCTATTGATTCTATTAATATTCAACGGCAAAAATTTTGGTTATAGTAAAAATTATCTTTGCTCATTAATTGAGAGTAACGATATAAAGATTATTTTGTAAATAATGCAATGTGAGTTTTTATTGTCACAATCAAATTGCGAAATCAGTCATATAAATTTTCGATGTTTTCGACATGAATGTTTATATATTCTTTCGATAAATAAAAGATATATATTACAAGAGAAACATAAAATCTATTGTAAAAAAAAATTATATAAACCATATGTGTCTACGCGTTTACAAAAAAATTGGTATGTTCGTACCATTTCGTTGGCAGCATAGCCGGGTCGCGAGCGAACTTCTCTAGCTTCAGAATTAAGTTCTACACCGCAAGCCGTACAATTGAAGTGATACGGATGATATAGCTCGCCGCGGAATCGTAAAGGTTTATCGTCGATCACTCCGCTGAAATAAGGAAGATAAACGATTTAAATAAAATTTTCCATAACAAAAGAAAGTACATTTCTAACTTATAACTCCCAACAGACTTGAACAAATTTCTATGCGTGATGATCTCTCTTTTTATTAACTTATAAGTGACTATCTTATTCAACAAGTTTATTTAGCTTATTCAGTTCTTTAACAAGATTAAGATTTTATGTCAGACAGTGCTAAGGGGAGATGTTGGTTTAGATAATCGAAAAATGGGAGATTTTTTAAAATTTTTTCTAAAAAAAATGAACAAAGGGTTTTTTATTAATATAGAGTTTTTATCATACTATTTATCATTGTTTTAGGTATTAAGAAAAATTATTAAAATATTGAAATTCCGTCCAGGTTTTCTATGCTGAGCGCAGTATCACCGCATGTTTTTAGATTGATACATAACATTACAATTTTTGTTATAATTCAGAACACACAAACGGAATAAGAAAATTTTAAAAACTATACTAAATCTGTTGAAAGATGAACCTAAATTTGATAATACTTAATAATAATGGAATATTTACAAAACAATTTTTCCTGAGATATTAAATAAATAAATAGGTAAAGAAAAGGAAAAATGACTTGTTACTTCAAAGTGCCTCTATTCTGTTAAAGAATAATGACAACATGTGCCCCATTTCTAGGCAGTGAAAAATGTACTTAGAATAGGTATCAAATTAGCCTCGATGAGCTGATTACAAAGATATAAGTTTTAGAGCCACTCATGTGTACTGTTTCAACACTACAGTCCAAAAAGATTCCAAATTTTAAGCTACTTTCTTTATGTTTCTTTTATTTCATTTTAAAAGTTGAATTTTGTTTAATCTAGCTTTTAAAATAGTTAAGCAAAAACAATTTGAGTATTTCTAATGTTTTTGAATAGGTTAAGATGCATTTTCCTATGCACTTCATTTTTTGCAAAATTAACCAGAAGTTGATGTTCCAATTGGAATTTTTTACTTCTGGCCAGTTTGGAACATAGAATTTATATCATTAAATTCTTCATTTAATTTTATTAAATGTAGCATTTCGAATTTTTAAAATCCGTTAAATTTTGCTAAAGAAATATCAGTTTGAAAGTAACCTAAAATTTGAGATCTTTTTGGATCGTAGTTTTGGAACGGTACATTGGACGGCTCTAAAACTTATATCTTTGTAATTAGCTCATCAAGGCCTTTAATTTGGTGCCCATTTTAAGTACATCTTTCATTGCCCAGAAATGGGGCACATGGCCTGTGGACCAGTAGCATCACTCTTTAGACTTTTTGCATATAAAGAAAGTTTCTCCAGTACATTTAATATAATTTTTTAATTTTCTGGTTGTTTATCAATTAGAAGTGTCCGGGCTCAGTATGACGAAATCTCAATCATTTCAAATAAAAAAATAATTTTTCATATTTGACCAACAATAATAAATAGTATAGTCTAGATCCTATATTGATATCTCTACTCATTTCTTTGAAAAAAAGACAAAATCTTACTATTTTTTCAACTATATAAACCAGAACTTCCCTTTAATATCAATCTGTATTTTGATGTAATAATGGAAAAAAACATACTGGCACTGATGGCATATATGTTTTCCGAGGACTCCAGCTTTTACTCTAGCATTGCAGGTATGACATAATGCTCTGCCTTGACATTTGATGAAGCCTGCATCTGCCAATTCACCATTACATTCTTCACAGCGGAAACATTGTGGATGCCAATTTGAATTCATCGCCTTAATTACACGACCGATGACAAACTCACCTACAAAGTTGATCATGTTAAATATATCTTCATGTTACATCTTCTATCACATCTTTGACTATCCAGGAATGAATAATAATGCTTACATATACCAAGTGAGAGTATATTTAAGAATAACTTACCGCACTTGCCACAACATGGGGCAAATAGAACATGAAAGTCATGCTCGCAATATTTGTAACCTTCAAACTCATAGAAGACTCCATCTGGAAACGGCCTGAAGCATTGTGCACATCTGTCAGAAATGATGTCTAAATTAGTGTTATTTCAATATCCAATGAAAGAAACAATTTAATTCTTAGAACTATATATTTTCACAGAAATGGCTGAAGATTTGACATTGATATTTTTTGTGGACAAAATTTTCTATTTCTCTATGTTATCTGAGAGCATCTTAGTTTTTGTGGTGTCTTCAAAAAGATCACTGGGTGATCATACATACACAAAACATTGTGGGTGCCATAACTCGCCATGTGAGTTGACAATTTTTTCATGTGCAGCAAAACCTTCTCTGCAGCGAGAACAAAACATGTGATCCAATGACATGTTTGTAACCCTATATATGATACAGCATTAGCCTCAGTCCTATTATGAATTTCGTTATAGAAAAGCAACAATTATTTTTTAAACATATTATAATAAAACTTTCTGAGCTTAAACTCAAGATGTTACATTGTATGAACAACTGCGCAGTGTCCCCACTATTGCCAGAAATTAAAAAAAAAAAGAGGATGTCCATATTGTGAGTATATGTGTACATTTGTTATACATCCTATACATTGCTTATGCAGGGGTTAATATACCTCAAAGAAATAGTGCTTACCCTGGCATATCTTAATGGAAGAAGATGATTACGTTTGGATGTTGACAAATACTCCTATTTTTTTTTCTTTTTATTCGTCTGCGCTCAATCCGCTTTACGACAATGCGCAGTGATAAAAATCGATTAGGCTGACGTTAATTAGAGTACATTAAATCAATTGTACTTTTATTTTTTCGTTACACACGAAAACTACATCAATACAATCTTTTTCACCTTTTGTTTCTCAAATATTATTCTCTTAGAGATGCTTTTTTATAGTCATATGTCCTTTTTCCTGATTTCTTTATGTATTTTATTTCGTATATATTTATATTATCGTATATATTTATATTTAATTAATAGGTAATTGCGTGTATACGTGTAATTTTATCAAGTATTCGATAAAAATCAATATCTGATTCACTATATATCTTTATTTTATGCACTAATCTTTATACCTTTATATGCACTGTTTAACTAGCCTATCTCTTATTTACAAAGTTAATATATCTTAATTAATTAATCAAATGAGATAATAAAACTGAGAAAAACTACCTATGCGATCTGTCATACAGCTGACACATCCATACTCTTGTCAGATTTTAAACAGGAACAACCAATCCGATCTCAGAAACCGTATCATGACCTTTTATGAAAATAGATATATACGTGACGCTCTACGCGCCACACCCTTGAAATAGTCAACAACACGAATAATGATGACGTGACATTCAATGACGCCTCATCTTAGAACCACGATTAAAGACTCCATAACTTTTGTAACATAGTGAAAAGAGGACAAATGTGAATTTTATCTGATAACAGCGAATTGAGAAAAAAGGTGAATACAATATTCATAATAAAAAGTAGTTAGTGAATTCTTGGATTTTATTGGTATATTCTTTTAGATCTAAAAATATACTCCAATCGGATTTGAGAATTCACTAACTACGGTTGTTACTAATCCGGATTAACGTTGCCGCGTAAACGTAGTCAATGGCCGCGTTCAGTAGAACAAGTGATCAGTAAGCGCTTAGGGAGCTCTTGTATATGATTTGGTATATTCTTTTAGATCTCCAACTATACTCCAATCAGATGCAAGAGCTCACTGAGCGCTTACTGATCACTTGTTCTACTGAACGCTGCCAATGGCTGCATTCAGCAGACTCAACAGTTGCACAACAGTTGAGTAATTTGTCAATGGGCGCATTCAGTAGAAAAAGCGCTCAGTAAGCAATCAACGATTATTGGTTCTTGCTATTAGATCCCTAAATCTAGACCAATTACATTGGGCGCATTCAGTAGAAAAAGCGCTCAGTGAGCAATCAACGATTATTGGTTCTTGCTATTAGAAAAGGGTTGTTCGTGCTGCTTGCATGTTTCATACTTTTCGCTTTTAAAAAGAGATGGACGCCTAATCAGACTCTTGGAAGAAACAATCGAGTTGGTTGTCTCGTTTTTGCTTCTTCGAAATATTCCAATATACTTCTGTCTAGTTTTAAATACGAAAAGTGCGAAGAGTACAAACAACACGAATAAGCCTAATTTTGGAGAAAGAATTGAATCGATTCAGAATTGGGCATCTCTACTGGATGTTTACGGGGTGGGGCCGGATTGACCACGATACGATTGGACAGATTGTAATGATTGGTTCGACCTAGATAATTCTTTTCATCGGTTGGTTGTGTCCAATCGTACCATGGTCAACCAGGACGCTCCCGTGTTTACGTGTAGCAATCGGATTTTCAATTGGATTAATCGCAGTGATATAAATTGTCTAGAGAGAAAGTTCCCTAGGTTAATCGGATTACCAAATCGTGTCCGTGAGAGACGGATCGGATTAGCGGATGCAGAGGAACATTGCGTATATACTTCCACATATCATAGAAGCTATGTTGAAAAGGCCAATAGGACCAGGCTTAAAAACCATTGAGAGAGAAAGAGAAAGTGCGTACATACTTACGTCTCTTAAGAAATAAATATTAAGAAATAAATAGAAAAGTATATGCATTGTTATTTTCATTATAATTAACGTATATTCTTCTGCAGATGTATATAGATAAATAAGGATTTATTTCTATTTTACTAATATGTGTATGTTAAAGAAATAAATATATCTTAACCTAAATGTGCTTCAGTCATTTGGTATGTATATATATATATATATATA